TTTTTTCCATGACGATGTCGAGAAGGCACGTAACCGTCGAGCTGAAAAGGATCTGTTACGTTCGGATTTTTCGTCTTGAAGGGGGCGCAAGTTGGCCCTCACAGGAGCGCACAGGGACAGTACATACAATGTATATATATGTATGCATGTATCCACCTATTATGTGTCTATGCATATGGAACACTGCCTGGGAACACTGCACAACGGGGCTGCTCAATTCACGCACCGCCTCTTACTTAACCAAAGGAAACGTCGCCTCACCCCATTTGGGCCGGTAGACCGCTCAACATGTTTTGTCGCCAAAATGCATGAAACGGTCATTCGCGCAGCATAAATCTTGTGAAGAAGAAAAAAAAAAAATAAAAAAAAAAAACAAATGCGATACGATGAATTGTTCCCATTCTGTGCCATTGAGAAGGGGTAAGCACAGGCAACTCTATTTTTTTGGCTAATTTTCCTGCTTGTAAAGCGACCCAGTCTTTGTTGTGTTGGTCACGAGGGGAAGAAGTTGAAGCCGAAGAGGAAACATGACAGGTAAAACGTTCCCCTCCAAGGTAGGGGGGCATGCCACATATGTACCTGCGCATGGAGGGGATATTCGTGCAAGTTTCGATGTGCCCCCAAGGGGGCAGCAGTGGGGAGGCAGAGCGGTCAACCCATAGCGATCAGCACATAGCTGTCAACACATAGCAGTCAACGCATAGCGGTCAACACATGACAGTGGCGCAGATAACCCTTGGAGCAAACCGACGTGATCGTCTGCACAGCTGAGCGGTACACCTTAATTAATTCCAGCAGCTGGGACCAAAAGAACGTTATGCAAATTTAAACCAAATGAGAAAAAGGAATCATATCATGTAGATCACAGGTTATTCTTTGTTCCCCCACGTCCACTTTTAGTCTCCCCTTCCTGCCCCAATTCCTCCACCTCATCTTTTTTTTATTTAAATGATTCGAAATGACGTGAATATGTGTTGAGGAGTGCTATGCCAAAATTTTACCTGCACCTTTTTTTTTGGAGTTTCTCATTTGTGACGAATATTTGATGCGCCCTATTTTGCGTTATCCTTGTAAGATACTTCCACCAAATTAAGCGAACTTTTAAATGGAAGGAGGGGTCGCATATCAGTGCCTACGTGGCAACCCCCTACGCATAACACAGACAATGTTAAATCCCCGCGATGTGTTCCCAACAGGGAATGACGAATGGGGAACAGTCTGTGACCAGCTGCAAATGTCAAAGAGGAAAACGCTCCACGGTGCTTCCGAATGGAACTGCCCACGGATAAGTTCGCCTTGTGCGCGCAGGTAGAAAAATCGGTTTGTACAGAATGGAAGCACGCCGTGTTGAAGCGCGCCGAGTGGTAACCTGCCGAGTGGTAGCTTGCCAAGTAGCAGCTTGCCAAATTAAGAAAGCTCAAAGGAACGACGACGCAAGGGGGAGGCCTATGACAGTTGACACCTTGGCACTTCGCAAAAGGGAATAAGAAGGCACAGCTTCAGCATCGTCAGTCGCGCGTTAGGGGAAGAACACGCAACCGCAGTGTGTCTGCACGCGTATGTGCACACATAGAAGTGCTTTTGTGCGGGCGTAGCCGGGTAAAGGGGCTAGAAGAATTCAGAAGCCAGAGCGCGCAATACAGTAAACGTTTACAGACGTACACACTTTATAAGCGCGAAATTTAGCTTTATTCAGTGAACGGGAAAATTGAATATTAATTGGAACATTCCCTTTCATTTCGCAGTACAACCCCCACGAAAATGGTTCCTCGCCGCCGCTACGGGTAACCTTCTATCTCAAAATGTGTTGCC